CTAGAATTTTTTTATTCCTGCTTACTTCAAAACCCAGCTCAGTTCCTAAATTTTTGAACGAGACATGTGGGGGTGACCCTATCCCGGGCACACGTGAACCCCTAGACCTGAAGCCGTGGTGAGTGCGATCGACACTCAACCCTTGGAATGAACCCACCAGGCTCCGAGACGACTGAAGCCTTCAACTTTACCACCCCGATGACAATCCTTAGACGGTTTAGGGTTTAGGGCGTAGTGATCATATTATGGCCCCTATTGTGGTCGTCCTTGTTAAAGAAGCCGTGTACAGCACCGAAAAATTCACGAGACCATGTAGACCTTCTGCAGACTTCAAACACCGCCCCTGTGCCTTTTCGAGTATAATCTTGCTGCAGAAAGAACCTCCAAGCTGTGGTGAGCTGACCTTTCAGCAGGGGTATATGTGTGCCCAGACCCGCGGGAGGATCTACAAAGTAGATCCCCTAATTTGGGGCCCTATACTACTATGTAAGGGTGCTTTACAGAATCCCCATTAAGGGATCTACTTTTTGGATCCTCCCGGGGGTCTGGGTGTGTGGGGGTGGGGGGGGATTTTAATTCAGAAAGGCGCCCTTTCTTCTGCATGGTGTTGCGCTCCAGGGTGTTGCGCTGTGGGAGGTCGTGGGTTCACGTGCACCCCGTTGCCGGCCCTCTGGGCCCATGACATGGGTTCTCTGGGAGTTTCCGAAAGTTAGGGAAATATTTGGTACCTAAGGGTACCTTTAAGGGGTTACTATAAGGGTTCCTGTAAAGGGCTCTATAAGAGTTTTGGGGTTTAGAGTTTCCGAAAATAGCTGATTTTGGGGGGTCTTTACAATAAGGATCCTACTATTGAGGCTGCTATATTAGGGTCCCCCATTTTCGGAAACTCCCATATAAGGGTTTAGGGTGAGGGTTTCGGGTTTAGGGAATATTTTGTGGGTTTTTGGTCACCCGACCACTGACCACCGTCTCTGAGGATGTTTGTCTCGCACCAATGGCTGGACTTCGTACATCCCGATCCGACAGGGAAGCAGGCAGGCCCGCAGCGAGTACTTAGTAGCTGAGTGGATACGTTTTACACTTTTCGAGGGTAATATTACCCACTATAACACTGAACGTGTACACGTTTTGGGGCTTATGGACTCAGCAACTAGGAGTGACGTCTCTCGTTGGTTGTGCGTGTATTCGAGAGCAGCTGCAGTGGTAAGCAAGAACGGCAGCCGCAGCAAAGGTCATCGGTGTCGCTGCTTAGGTCTTGCAGCTAGCACAGACAAAACGGCCCTATGGCCTAAGTAAAAAGGCACTGCTGGCAGCCACAGTTGCTTTCCGCAAAGAACAAGTTTCTGAATCCAAAGCCCTAAGCCCCAAACCCGAAACTCTAAACCCTAAACCCTAAACTCAAAACCCAACATCGCAACTTGCTTGCGGAAGCTCTACAGTAAACCCCATAGAGTTGGAAACCGGATTAAGGCCAAATAGTGCTGGGATTCCCTATACATGACTCTTAAGGATGAGGCTATGGGGTTTCCAACTTTTGGGCTTTTACTCTAAGTCGTAAACCCTGAACGCCGTACCCAAGCAACGAGCTGACCCTCCCGGGCTGTCGGTAAGGGACCCAAAAAGGCACATAAGCATAAGCATGTCATGGGGATATCCCTACCTTATCGGGCTTCATTATAAGGGGGTTTGTATGGGATATCCCTATCCTATTTTTTGCTTATGTGCTTTTTTTGGGGCCCTAGTCGGGGTAGCGAACCTCAGGCGTGTTTGGCAGCTAACCACTTGGAGGGTCAGGGGACTTAGTAAGTGGGTAGTAAGTAGACTTATATATAAGCACCCTAAAAGGGACCCTGATTGGGGTTATGGTACTTACAAGTCCGTAAAATAACCAGTCACTAAGTCCCCCGACCCTCTAACCAGAGCTCCAACAGTTCGTTATGAGGACTCAGATGGGTGGTTGTCAAAATTAGGGTACCTTTTTTGGACCTTATCATAAAAGCCGGCACCTAATACGTTTGATGATATAAATCCTGCATTACCCAGAAATAAGAAATATGCCTTAATTCCCATAGTTTAGGGTCCTTAAGGTCATGCAGGATTTATATCATCAACAGTATTTAGGGTGCCCAAAAAGGGGCCCTGATTTTGACAACCAGCCAGATCTCAAAACTCTTGGGGATTTTGAGTCGGTTTAGGGTTTAGGGTTTAGGGTTTCCTACTTGAAGGATCATGGGACTTAGCTGCCAGGGTTGCAATGGAGGTGAGTATGCTTCTAACCCCAAAACCATAAACTTAATGGAGGTACGTATAACCTCAGTTACCACGTCCTATGATGCTTCAAACAGGTTTTGGGGGCCCAGGTGCGAAAGTGGTGCTTGGAGGTTCATGGGTGGTTGTAAGTGGGGTTCCTTCAAGGCTTCTACAGGTCGGTAAGGTTTAGGATTTAGGGTAGTAGTAGTAGTAGTAGTAGTAGTAGTAGTAGTAGTAGTAGTAGTAGTAGTAGTATAGTAGTAGTATAGTAGTAGTAGTAGTAGTAGCAGTAGTAGTAGTAGTAGTAGTAGTAGTAGTTGCAATAAGAGTAGTAGTAGCAGCAATAAGAGTAGTAGTAGTAGTAGTAGTAGTAGTAGTAGTAGTAGTAGTAGTAGTAGTAGTAGTAGTAGTAGTAGTAGTAGTAGTAGTAGTAGTAGTAGTAGTAGTAGTAGTAGTAGTAGTAGTAGTAGTAGTAGTAGTTTTAGTAGTAGTAGTAGTAGTAGTAGTAGTAGTAGTAGTAGTAGTAGTAGTAGTAGTAGTAGTAGTAGTAGTAGTAGTAGTAGTAGTAGTAGTTCGTATTAGCAGTAGTAGTGGTAGTAGTAGTGTAAGTAGTAGTAGTAGTAGTAGTAGTAGTAGTAGTAGTAGTAGTAGTAGTAGTAGTAGTAGTAGTAGTAGTAGTAGTAACACAGTAGTAGTAGTAGTAGTAGTAGTAGTAGTAGTAGTAGTAGTAGTAGTAGTAGTAGTAGTAGTAGTAGTAGTAGTAGTAGTAGTAGTAGTAGTAGTAGTAGTAGTAGTAGTAGTAGTAGTAGTAGTAGTAGTAGTAGTACGTAGTAGTAGTAGTAGTAGTAGTAGTAGTAGTAGTAGTAGTAGTAGTAGTAGTAGTAGTAGTAGTAGTAGTAGTAGTAGTAGTAGTAGTAGTAGTAGTAGTAGTAGTAGTAGTAGTAGTAGTAGTAGTAGTAGTAGTGGCAGTAGTAGTAGTAGCAGTAGTAGTAGTAGTAGTAGTAGTAGTAGTAGTAGTAGTTTAGTAGTAGTAGTAGTAGTAGTAGTAGTAGTAGTAGTAGTAGTAGTAGTAGTAGTAGTAGTGGTAGTAGTAGTAGTAGTAGTAGTAGGGCAATAAGTGGGCTTCCTTAAGGGTTCTGATAGGGTTTAGGATTTTTGGGGGTTGAAGGCTTTCGGGACTTTCCAACCCCGCTAAGAATCATCCAAGCAGGGAGGGGTTGGGGAATATTCCGGGTTCACTGGGGTTTAGCACTTTTAGGGGTTTAGGGTACAGGTTTTTTTTTTTATGGTTTCAGGGTTTCAGGGGTTTAGGGTTTCGGGGTTTAGGGTTTAGGGCTTCAGGGGTTTAGGGTTTAGGGCCAGTTTTAGGGTTCAGGGCCAGTCTTGGGGTTCAGGGTGAAACAAAGAGGAGCCCCGTCGCCATGAGCCGATGTCCCCAGGCCCCATGTTAAGGCCAGCTGTTGAAACTTGCAGCCCGCATGCATGGGTTTTGCCTCACAAATTTTAACCCAAACCCGAAGCCATCAAATCTGAACTGTACTGATGTTCAGAAGGTCCTGGGCCACTTCTGTTGTTATTTTGGTTTGTTAAGAGGGGTAGTTCTCTAAACTAGGGGCCCTTTCTAGGTCCCCAAAATAGCCCTTCACCCTTATAAAAAGAACCCCCAAATGGACCCTGATTTAGAGAACTACCCAAAGATTGAGTGTGTCCTGGCGTTTGGGCACCCCCGGAGTTGTGGCACTGTGGAAAGAGGAGCACACAAAAAGCAATAAGAAGAAACCACCCCCTAAACCCCCTGACCCCTGAACCCTAACGCACTGGCTTCGGTTTCGGGGTTGCTTCAGGTCGCCGTGCTGCGAGACCTGCTTAGAGGCATCACTACCGGCACCACCGAGGACTTCTTGGGAGCTGGGGACGGTTTAGGGTTTAGGGTTGAGCAGGGATCCTATGGGGGTTTAGTACGGCTTAGGGTTCCCATAATGGGGCTAATATTGAGGAATCCCTACATTAAGAATCTTAAACCCCCCCTTGCGCCTCCCATCAGGGTTGAGGGTTGAGAGTTTAGGGTTCAGGAATGGTGGAGGTTTCAGTGGCTTTACTTGCCTATGGTTAGTGGGGAATGGAAGAATGTTGTAATTGTACCCCACTCCTCCATTCCATACTAAGCAAAGGTAAGTTTAGCGATTCTGGGTTATGCTGTTGGATCGAATCAGCGGTTTTCAGTGGATCTAGATCTAAAGTGTCTATCTTTGAAGTTGCGTTTGGGGAGCTGCAAGGATTTGGGGTACAGGGTTTGGGGTTGCAGTGGCTTTAATTAAGGATTTCAGGCTGAGAGGTGGAAGGTCTACAGTAAACTCCATAAAGTTGGAAACCGGATTAAGGCCAAATAGTGCTGGGATTCCCTATACATTACTCTTAAGGATTGAGGCTATGGGGTTTCCAACTTTTTGGCTTCTACTGTATCTGCATCGGGAGGCATCACCATTGGCCTGGTATACCGGCATACCGTTTGCCTTTCTACACAATGCTGCTTTCATAGTGCGTCCTGAGTACCTGGAGGTTCATAGGTAGCTATATGTATAGGGTTACATATAAGTCCGCTAAAATGGGTTACAAGTATAGTTACCCGACTTATCACCCCGCGGAGAACTACCCATGCACCTCCAAGAACGCGAAGCGGTAAGCCAGACAACAAATCCTGAAATCTTACGGAGTCAGCGAGACCTTCTGCTTTTGTCTTTTCGCGAGCCATGTTGTGCTTCCTGTTCGACTACAACCACACCCCCAGCAACGGGCGGCGAGAAGAGAAACTCATGCTATGGTCGGACGGCCGTGCCTGAACTTGCAGAGGACGGCAACCAGACTGAAAGTCAAAGATTTCCTTGCCAAGTAGAAGGTGCCGACCACCTTCTCTGTGCTGCTCGAGGAGCAGCGCTGTCACCGCGGCTGGGAGCTCCCCTGCTGGAACTGGCCGGAGCAGTGCAAGCAGCTCTGTTTCCTGATCGTGTAAGTGTTTCTTCAGCTACAGGAGGGGAGGAAGTGCGAAGATGACCTCATGGTGCACACATCCACCTTCCTCTAAACCGCTCTCCGCACCTCTTGGCTGGAAAGTGCCGCCTGCGCTACCCCATCTGGTTTGTGAGCCCCAACCAGTGAACGCTCTTGCTACCCCAGCCCGAAATCCTAAACCCTCAAACCTCAAGCCCTGTGCGACGCACCTCGGCCTATCCAAGAGGTGTTGAGTATAGGGTTTAGGGTTTGAAAGCGTAGGCTTTAGGCTGACGGGTTGAGGGTGTCCTGGGTTTGGAGTACCATACTTGAATACTTCTTTTGGTACCTGTTCCTTAAAGGAACCATTATGAAATACAAGTCTTCACTTTTTTCTCCCTGCTTACTTCAAAGTCCAGTTAAATCATATTAAGGTTCCTACCATAAGTTGAGGGATATTCCATAATTAACGGTTATTGGAATCTCTGGGATGCTGCGGAACCCTGATACCCCTGTCGCTTACACCCGCGCCTTGATGTCGCTGTCGACAGGAGTAGGGTTTCGCGGTGTATCGCCCTGAACTTAGGGGTACTTGGAAATACTGTTTAATCTTTGGTTATTATATTCCCTAAGAAAAAGCTAGAATTATAATTTTTGCCAGGATTCTAAATTCAGTATAGTGAACTTTCGATCACAGAACAAGAAGCCTACGGCCCTTTTAAAGGTTCGGGGTTTCCTCGACTCTGCGACTCTTCTGGTATTCCGTGTTTTGTGGATTCGTGTTGTTTGGGGTTTCGTGGCTTCAGGTTTCAGGGATACTCGATTGGTCATAGGATAAGTGGTAGTTTTTTGGTTCTGCTTCACTTTAAAACTGAAGAGTTTAAGGACAGAAGGCTTTTGAATTTCGTGCCTATGCAATTAGGTTCCCCAGTGGTACCCTCGTTCCCTTTTGAATTTGGGGTCTGCTCATTAATCTACCGTCTCCTTAGGATTTTCATTTTGTTCATTTAAAGCCCAAGAGAATATTCAACATATTTTTCTTTTGAATCTGAGGGGGGGTATAGTAATGAGAGCCGAGTACTATGAACAAGGGCGTCCTTATCATTACGGGGCTCCTGCTTGGAGGGTCGGGGGGACTTAGTAACTGGTTATTTTAGGGACTTGTAAGTACCATAACCCCAATTGGGGTCCCTTTCAGGGTACTTATAAGTCCACTTACTACCTACTTACTAAATCCCCTAGAGACCCTCCAAGTGGCGAACCTGAGCAATCTACACAGCAGGTTGAAGGCCATGTGATCGGCATGCTCTACGGCGTTTTGGAGCAGTTGTCACCGGAGGTGCAGTGGCTTAGATTGGCTTAGATCCCCAATACCCAACCTTTAAAGTTTTCGGGTTCTTATAGTTTAGTAGGAATCGGAAAGTTTAACCTTGTACCTTTACGGCGTGTTGGAGCAGTTGTCACCGGAGGTGCAGTGGAATGGTGGAACCCTCAACGCTTGGTCTTGTGATAAGCTCGTGTGTTTCCTGTCCCCCTACAAACCCTGAACCCGAAACTCAAAGTTTTCAATATAGGCCATGTCAGACAGATGGTTGCATTCGTTTGCTGTGTGTCTGTCTTATCCTACCAGAACAGCAACCTGCTACCGGCGGGTGGATGTCCATACGTACCATATCTAGGGAATCACTCGCTTGTGTGTGTATATCTACACACACTTATACATACGTATATACACATACGTAAATCTATGTATATACATATGTACCCTCGTGTACGCCGAAGCCAGAAACCAGACAGCCTAAATCATGCATCTAAGCCCTAAGCCCGAAGACCTGAAACAGCACTCTAAAAACCGCAAGTCCTGGCTGTGCAGCCTCTTCGCAGACCGCAAGGGATGGGAGAAAAGGAGCTCAACAAAAAACAAAAAATAACTCAAAACTGAAACCCCCAACCTCAAAACCTTTTACTGTAAATCATTGAAGCCAAGCCAGGAGCCCTAGGAGGTTACGGGGTTTAGTGGTTGAGGGTTTAGAGGTTGAGGGTTTTAGGGTTGAGGGTCTAGCGTTTAATGGTTTAGGGTTTAGGGTTTCGAGGTTGAGGGTTTTAGGATGTTTGAGGGTGCAGGGGTTAGTGTTTCGGATTTCGTTCTCAGCTCAAGCCTACCATCTTGGTTCCAGTCTAGAGGTCAGAAGACTTGATGACAGCGTCCCTGGTTTTGTCCTTATATGATGAAGCTCCCATCATGGCTCCCAACCCCAACTACGATACTTACAACCTTACTTCCTCAGTCCCATGATCCTCTCAGCTCGGTCCAGGTGCGCACGCGTATCGGCGAAGGGCCGCATGTCTTCACACTTAGAGGCGGTCCAAAAAGGCTTTTGTATGAATTTGTTCTGTTTTGCCTTTGCACTTATGCAACCCTAAGCCCTAAACCCTAAACCGTTTTCTGTTTTAGATCAGGGTTTGCACAGGCCCAGAAAGGCGCGAAAGTTAAAGGCTCCTACGGTTGATGATAGAAATCTTGCATCACCCATAAAAAGGAATATACCATAATCCCATAGTTTCGGGTCCTTAAGGTAATGCAGGATCTATATCATCAACCGTACCTCTGGGATTTCGAGGATTCTGTGTTCAGGCTGTAAAGGCAGAAGAGGCGAGAGTCTCGAGGTTTTTTTTGTTGTTTCTACTTGGAGGTTCATGGGTAGATATAAGTAGGGGTATGAGGCCCCTAATATGGGTTATAATTATAGTTACCTTATACTTACAACCCCACTTATAACTACCCATGAACCTCCAAGTAATCCGGAACTGTATTCTATTTGGCTGCCTGTGCTTTGTGTGACTGTGTGATTTTCGTCACGGTTCCCTTGAGCTGCACTCCGCGGTGCAGAGAGTCCAGCCGCGGATTTCGGGTTTAGGGTTTTTTAATCTAGGGTTTTGGGGCTCACAGCAGACTGGCATTTCACTTCATGAGCAAGATGATGATGCGGTAATGTATGTAGCGAAGCCCGGATCACAGCTACGCCAAGAGATTCAAGGTAAAGCATACTCGGCATAGCATGTTATGCCATAGCTTGGTGCTCAAACTGCTGAAGCTCTTGCATGCTTTCGGTTCTGAGCCCGGGAGCTCACTACGGGAAGTTTCACAGCTAAGCAGACCAACACCCGAGGTACTTGTTTTACGATTGGTTTGCCATCCCGCAGATCACTGCGAGGTGCGTCTGATATTGCGAACCCAAAGTTCAATCCTGCAAGACCTAAACCCTATACCGCAAGCCCTGAGCGCAATCCCTTGCTCTACACTTTACAACCTCCTCACACTGAGCTTCCATGAACAGCTTGAGAAGGGTTTCAGAGGGGTTGTATGGGCTTATAGGCCCCAACATGCTTTAATCGCAAGTGAGTCAGTATCTTCACTTTTGGATCCTTAATAAGGGATGCTTACTTAAGCGAAATCGGAGAAAGGATTGTAGACTCAGCGATCCCCATTGCAAGTCCTCTTGCAACCTGAATGTAGGAGTTTGCGAAAATAGGTGACCCTAATATAGTAACCTAAATAGTAGGATCCCTGCTATACGGACCCAGAAAAATAAGGTACCCCGAATTTTCGGAAACTCTAAACCCTAAACCCTTTGTAGAACCCTGATAGTACCCTGTGGAAACTCCCATGTTACAAGCGAAAAATCAGCTCATCGTAAAGCATCTCGACAGGGGTTTTGTGCGTACCTTCAAAAGCCTGCAGGTGCATTCTTGTCCGTGCAATCCAGGAGCGGGGGAAAGAAGGAAGGCCACCAATGCCGGTCACTGATTCGGACACAGACTCTGCAGCATCCACCTGCATCCCGCAGGAAGAGACAGCACAAGGGATAGCGATGATCTGCAAAATGTCGCGAGCAAAGACACTGACACCGAATCAGAGCCTGCCGCCGATCCCGGTGAAGACGTGAGTGGGGTGCTCTTCGCGCATAGCCTCGGCTGCTGAATCTGACAGCAAAGTTTACGCTGTGGACGGGGCCATGGAACGAAGACTACTGCTTGGCTATCCAGGATAGAGACAAACTCATCATTGAAGTTCCCAATCCGAAACAGATACTGTAAGAAAGCTTCGCACAACGAGGACGATAATTTTATTCGGGATCCCTAAGGTATCGGAAATTATGCAGGCCCCGATGGGGGTTCAAGTTCCAGGATGGCGTCCAGAATTACAATATTTTCCTAAACTTTAACATAGTCAATAATATAGTCACTTAGGGGTATGTAAGGGAACATTTCTTCAAGATAAGTTTCATTTAGATTTGGGCTCGTACAATAGTCTATCAATCAAAACCGTAGCTTTTCTCTACATTCATCTGCAGCATTCATTAACCCATATCAAGTTGCTCAACAATCAAGTTGCAAGGTGTGGTCTGAAAAGCAGAAATGCTTATATAAATAACTTGAACTTAAACCCTAAATCCTAACCCGTAAACCCGAAGCGCTACAGCCTAAACCGTAAACCCGAAACCCTAAGCCTTAGCCTAAGTCCGAAAACCCTGAACCGGAAGCCTCCAGTTCAATTGTCCCAAGCGCAGCAGCTGAGTTCCCTAAAGCGCATTTTACAAAGCAATCGCCTCAATAAACTCCATACCCTAGACCTGCGTTTGGAGTAGCATACTTGTATACTTTTTTGGTACCTTTTCCGTAAACGAACCATTCTGAAATCAACGTCTATACTTTTTTCTCCCCGGTTACTTCAAGGTCCCGTAGACTGTAGGGTGGTTTCCCTTGACTCTGGACCTAGCGTTTCATTACTTATATAAAACGATCATGCTTAAACGGTCGGTTCTTTGGGGTCCGCGTACAGCTTGTGGTGAGAAATCTTCAACTTTCATATGAATGTTACTGGTAAAGATCTGCTGCAGTGTTTAGTTGCTTACGCTGCAGCCGTCACATCTTAAAGCTAAGCCCCAACCCTACACCCTAAACCCTAATCCGTTAAACCCTAAGCCCTAAACTCTAATCCGTTAAAGCCCGTTTTTGCCAGGCAGCCCGGGGTGAACGAAGAGACCACGAAGTCGGACGCCGCTTTGGCGGTGCAAAGCAGCCTGGTTGCCGGTCATGGGTCTTTACCACAAGCTGCTCTGAACCAGGCTAAACCTTGAACCCTAGACCCTAAAGCCTACGCCACAAGCCGCCACAAACCCTAAACCGTGAGGGGAGCTCAATTTCGGTTTGGTCAGCCTTTATTTGGGTGGTTGTCAAAATTAGGGTCCCTTTTTGGGTCCCTATTATAGTAGGGCACCCAAGATTTAAGGTACCCAAAAAGGGACCTTAATTTTGGCAGCTACCCATGTGATGTACGCGTTCTGAGAAGCGCAAATGCTTTGGACAAAAGTGTAATTCGCAAGTGGCTATCACCCAAAACTCTTATTGGCTGTAAGCTCAAGTTTTCAACTTTTGGGTTTCTTGTAAGGTAGTCGACTCTGAAAGTTTCAACTTTTATTTCCTTGGGTTTTGGGCCAGTGAGAATTGCTCTGCTCTTGCACCACTTCTGCTAGTAACTGGTTATTTTGGGGACTTATAAGTACCATAACCCCAATTAGGGTCCCTTCCAGGGTACTTATAAGGCTACTTACTACCTACTTACTAAGTCCCCCGACCCTCCAAGTGGTCTTGACACGCAAGAGCATCGCACTGCTACTGCTAGGCTTGTGCTTGTCAGACCAAGTTATGTTGTTACGGTCATATCACGCGGTGCATGCATGCAGCATGCATGTACGTGTGTGTACAGACAAATGTGTATGTACATGTGCACATGTCATATATGTCCAATTGCTTACACCTACGGAAAAGTTCGTACTTCATATTCTGCTGTTGTCTTCACATGTCTCGTGCCGCTACTGCGTAGCTCGACGGACGTTGCAATCCCCACTCAGGCTCGCAGGTTTGTAAATAAGCGTCAACACATAGCCCTACCCAAACCCTATGGATTCCCAATGCCCTAAACCCCGCACAACAAGCCCAAAACCCTAACCCCGCAAAATAAATCCTAAACCCTAAATGCTAAACCCTAAAGCCCTAAACCCTAAAACCCTAAAACCCTAAACCCTATGAGCCCTAAAACCCAAGCCCCAAAACCAACAAAGCGGAGAAGCCTAGGTATTCCGGCCTACGTGGAGGCCTGCAACCTGTTCTTCGTGCTCTGCCCGGAGCTCCACCACCAAGAAACAGGTCCCATTAAGGGGTCCTTTCAGGGATATATGGGTGTTCCTTTAAAAAGGGCCTATAGGGGTTCCTTTAAGGGGTCCTTTCAGGGATTTATGGGGTTCCATTAAAGGGATCTATAGGGGTTCCTTTCAGGGGTCCTTTCAGGGATATATGGGTGTTCCTTTAAAAAGGGTTTATAGGGGTTCCTTTGAGGGGTCCTTTCAGGGATCCATGGGGGTTCCTTCAAAGGGATCTATAGGGGTTCCTTTAAGGGGGTTCCTTTAAAGGGCTTTATAGGGCCAGAGCTTTGGGGTTTAGGTGGGGCCTTGAAGGGAACTATAAGGGTTCCTAAATTAGGGGCTCTTTTAAAGGGTGCTATAAGGGTTTAGGGTTTGGGGTTTAGGGATTTAGGGTAGGGCCTTTAAGGGAACTATAAGCGGTTCTTCTCAGGGATCATTTAGGGTACTATCAAGGGCTTGTGGGGTTTACAGGGATTTTGGGTTTTACGGCTTTGGGGTTTAGGAGTTAGAGCTCTGAGGTTTTAGGATGTTAGTAAAGGACTAATGCTTTAAGGGTTTAGGATTTAGGGCGGGGATTAGTTTCCAGGATTCCTTTTAAGAGTTCTAAAGCTGTCGTCGATAAAAAGTTTCGGGGTCTATGGCGCACACCTTATGCGCCAGTAGGAATCGACACGTGCGCATCTGCGTCTGTCACAGCCGCGTTCGCTTCAGCTTGCTTTGCCTTCTTGTGTTTGCAATTCTTACCTTTGGCTAGTAGGGAATGGAGGAATGGGGTACAATTATAACTACTATTAATTACTACCATTCTTCCATTCCCTACTAACCCAGGGTAAGAATTGCGTCGTCGACGAGCTGGTCCAAGCAGCTACAGGAGGCCGGTGTGCCTGGGGGGGCCGCCGATGCTATTGCCATGTCCTACTACTTGGAGGGTCGGAGGACTTAGTAAGTAGGTAGTACGTAGACTTATAAGTACCCTAAAAGGGACCCTAATTGGGGTTACAGTACTTATAAGTCCCTAAAATAACCAGTTGCTAAGTCCCCCGACCCTCCAAGTAGGATGCCCAGTAGTATCCTTATTCCCTCTTTGTAGTCCTAGGTTCCTTATAAAGTTACCCAATACCAAGAAGGAAGCCCTCTTCTTTTCCTAGGTTACTGGGCATCCTAGCCTATGTCTCCGACCAGCTGTTCTATCATGTATTCCAGTCCCCTTAGACGCTTATGCCAAGTCCGTGCTGGTCAAAACCAGTATCATCAGCCAGGATGACGCTGACTGGGACATACACCCAGCAGTAGCAGCCCTGCGTGGAGCATGGAGCAGCTTGAATGACACAAAATCCGCTGCAGTGCACACAGCTGTCGCCGAAAAAGCTGCAGCGGATTACGCGGCACTGGTACTTACGATTCCTTTGCAAAAGCGCGGAAGACCCCAGACCCGCAACCCCAAACCTTATACTGCAGACTGAGAGCTCCCATATTCGTCCCGTATGCTAGTTACCTACCCTTAGTAAATTATCTTAAGTCTTGTAGAACCCGGTAAGGAAGCCTTGTAGAAATCCTAGTCTTATCATTCTATTGGGGTGGTTTCTTTGGACTTGGGATGTAGGGTGTAGCAGCAGCACACCCTGCTTGGAGGCTCAGGGTCGTTATGAGTGGGGTTACCCAAAAAGCCAAATACCCCTTAATTGAGGAATGTATCCTAAAACTTAAAAACAATTTCAATGCGCCTATAATTCACCGAATGTTCCTTAATAAAAAGGTATTGGGCTCTCTGGGTATAAGTCCAGTTACATGGCTTGTTATTGTAGTTGCCCTACTTATGAGCCTGTTAGACCCCTTAAGCCCTAAACCCCTACACCGTAAACCACTGCCCCATGAACCTCCAAATGGAGCCAAGAACCCAATGCCAGGTGAAAGGTGTAACTACACCTCCTGGCTGCAAAGGGGCTGGTGTCGCTTCTCGGTTCATCTTCTCGTGGGTTTGGAGTTACAAGTTTTTGGAACTGTTCTGTGAAGGAGTCATTATGAAATACAAGTGCATGCTTTTGCTCCCTGGTTACTTCAATGCCCAGATCTGGCTTTCTTCGAGGGCTTTGGGGTTGTGGGGCTGAGGTGTTTCGGGTGTTGCGTTCGCGGCTGCAGGAAATCTTGGATCCGAAGCGCTCAACCGTCGAGATTCCGTAGCCGCAAAAGCATGAACTCTTGAAAATCTACCGCTCCTACTTGCAGGAGCATGGGACTTAGTAAGTGAGGTTTTAGAAGCACTTAGCTTGGGTTATATGTGTTTATAGCGATAGTTAGCCCGTCAAGAACCCAAGTTACTAGGTCCCACGCTCCTTCAAATAACCCTAAACCCACCAATTAGAGCCCTTATAGATCCTTTAAATGTCCCTTTAAACGTTAAAGAGCCCCTGAAGGAACCGGTTACTAAGTCCCACGACCCCTTCACGTAGGCCCCAGACCCTTCAACAGCTGGCGTGTCGCTATGGAACTGAGTGGGTCGCAGGAGACTTCAGTCAGAGGGGAAAAGGAGGGACCCTTAATGGGGACCCCTACCTCGTAATGGGCTACATAATGGGTATATAGACGCTATGTTAAGGGTATATACCTTGGGGTCCTTATTAAGGGTCCCTCCTTTTACCCTTGGATGCAGTTACCCAGGGACTAAAATATCCTTGAATTAAGGAATATTCCTTAAATCATATTCGGGGTCCTATTATAACTTAAGGTATATTCCTTAATTAAGGGGTATTGGAGTCTCTGGGTAGGGTTTATCTTATCCTACCAGAACCCGCTTTTTTGCGGGGAAGTAGGTTTTGGTAGGTTGAGGTAGGGTTTAGGGTGTGGGTTGTGGGGTTTACGTTTCAGGATTTAGGGTTTAGGTTTCATGCTTGTGTCTTCTCGGATTCCAGGGCTCAATGTCTGGGATGCTTGGCTTCTTCTCGGTTACGGGTTTACGGTTTAGGGTGTTTCGGCAACTCACAACCAGGAAGCAGTGTAAACACAGAGCCCCTTACCCTAAAATCCCGACAGCCGTTGCACCAACAAGTTCTTGACCCTTCTTGGACACCAAGAGCCCAGGTGCTGAACTCTACTGCCGACGCTTTGTCATGCATTGAGCAGAGATTCTGAGATTCGCTCTGTGTCCTACACTGGTCAGAGGTGATTTTTTTGTGTTTCAACTTTTCTAGGTCCAGGGTTTCGGGTTTAGGTTCTTATTCCATGGTCAAACAGATTACGGGTGAGCGCTTCATTTTCACTTCTGAGCCAAAACCTAGAACCCTAGATCCCAGGCTCTACTTGGAGGGTCGGGGGACTTAGCAAGTAGGGGCTCCTTTAGAGGGGATTATAAGGGTTCCTTTAAAGGGCTCTATAAGGGTACTATAGGGGATTAGTAAGTAGGTAGTAAGTAGACTTATAAGTACCCTAAAAGGGACCCTAATTGGGGTTATGGTACTTATAAGTCCCGAAAGTAACCAGTTTCTAAGTCCCCCGACCCTCCAAGGAACTGTTCAGTTCTCAACTCTAAGCCCTGAACTCCGTACCCCAAATAGACCTGTTTCAATCCGAAGCTCTACACCAAATTCAGCGTTTGGAATTGGAGGGTTTGGCTGTCCTTGTTGGGGTTTGGAATTTTGGGGTGTTTGGGTTTAGGGTTTAGGGTTCATAACCTGTTTCTTGAAGGGACTTAGATCAAGATCCCTGAAGCCCGCGACGTTTAGGCCTTGACACCCTTACCCCAGCCCAGGTTTGCTGTCTATTCGGGCAGACACCAGTGCCTGTTTTGCACTCGAGCCTATGTTTGCGTCAGGGTTTAGGGTTCGTAGGGCACTGGGTTTTGGGTTTTGTTAGGGCTTGCGTTAGTGTGTCGACTTTGTAAAACCTAGCCATTTTCTGTGTAAAGCCTTTGGGGTTCTAAGGCAGGGGAAGTGGGATGACCTAGATCGCAACTCAAAGCCCTAAACCCTACTTCCCCTAAGGGTCCATGTATCCAGAAGAGTATACTTTTACCAAAAAGTACCTATATAGGGACTACATTGCAGTGCGCCCGCGCAGGGGGGCGGAAAATTTGAAAATACACCGATACACCGATACACCGACCCAGGGGTGCCCCACCGATCGGCGCAGGATTGCGGAATCCACCGATACACCGGTACACCGACCCAGGGGTGCCCCACCGATCAGCGCAGGATTGCGGCAATACGCCGATACACCGATACACCGACCCAGGGGTGCCCCGCGAGCGATCGGCGCAGGATTGCGGCAATACACCGATACACCGGTGCACCGACCCAGGGGGACCCCGCGAGCGATCGGCGCAGGATTGCAGCAATACACCGATACACCGGTACACCGACCCAGGGGGACCCCGCGAGCGATCGGCGCAGGATTGCGGCAATACACCGATACACCGGTACACCGACCCAGGGGGACCCCGCGAGCGATCGGCGCAGGATTGCGGCAATACACCGATACACCGGTACACCGACCCAGGGGGACCGCGCGAGCGATCGGCGCAGGATTGTGGCAATACACCGATACACCGGTACACCGACCCAGGGGGACCCCGCGAGCGATCGGCGCAGGATTGCGGCAATACACCGATACACCGGTGCACCGACCCAGGGGGACCCCGCGAGCGATCGGCGCAGGATTGCAGCAATACACCGATACACCGGGACCCCGCGAGCGATCGGCGCAGGATTGCGGCAATACACCGATACACCGGTACACCGACCCAGGGGGACCCCGCGAGCTCCAAAACAGGCCCAGAAAATCCTGGACCTTCTTTGCTGCAGTCCCTCACCGGTACCTCGGAGTTCACGGGTGATAGGAAGTTCTGCTTTTCAAATCAGGGGCGCCCCATCAGTCCAAGGCTCCATCCTCGGAGTTCACTGGTGATAGGAAGTTCTGATTTAAAAATCAGAGGCACCCCATCAGTCCAAGGCTCCATCCTCGGAGTTCACTGATGAGAGGAAGTTCTGATTTAGAACATCAGGGGCGCCCCAACAGTCCAAGGCTCCATCCTCGTAGAGGAAGTTCTGATTTTGAAATCAGGGGCGCCCCATCAGTCCAAGGCTCCATCCTCGGAGTTCACTGGTGAGAGGAAGTTCTGATTTAAAAGTCAGGGGCGCCCCATCAGTCCAAGGCTCCATCCTCGGAGTTCACTGGTGATAGGAAGTTCTGTTTTAAACATCACGGGCGCCCCATCAGTCCAAGGCTCCATCTGCGGAGCTCACTGGTAAAAGAAAGTTCTGATTTTGAAATCAGGGGCGCCCCATCAGTCCAAGGCTCCATCCTCGGAGTTCACGGGTGATAGGAAGTTCTGCTTTTCAAATATCAGGGGCGCCCCATCAGTCCAAGGCTCCATCCTCGGAGTTCACTGGTGATAGGAAGTTCTGATTTAAATATCCGGGGCGCCCCATCAGTCCAAGGCTCCATCCTCGGAGTTCATTGGTGATAGGAAGTTCTGATTTTAAAAAATCACGGGCGCCCCATCAGTCCAAGGCTCCATCCTCGGAGTTCACTGGTGAGAGGAAGTTCTGATTTAAAAATCAGGGGCGCCCCATCAGTCCAAGGCTCCATCCTCGGAGTTCACGGGTGATAGGAAGTTCTGATTTAAAAATATCAGGGGCGCCCCATCAGTCCAAGGCTCCATCCTCGGAGTTCACTGGTGATAGGAAGTTCTGATTTAAAGATCAGGGGCGCCCCATCAGTCCAAGGCTCCATCCTCGGAGTTCACGGGTGAGAGGAAGTTCTGACTTAAAAATCAGAGGCACCCCATCAGTCCAAGGCTCCATCCTCGGAGTTCACTGGTGATAGGAAGTTTAGGAAGTTCTGCTTTAAAAATCAGGGGCGCCCCATCAGTCCAAGGCTCCATCCTCGGAGTTCACGGGTGATAGGAAGTTCTGATTTTAAAATCACGGGCGCCCCATCAGTCCAAGGCTCCATCCTCGGAGTTCACTGGTGATGGGAAGTTCTGACTTTAAAATCAGTCCAAGGCTCCATCCTCGGAGTTCACTGGTGATAGGAAGTTCTGATTTAAAAATTAGCGGCGCCCCATCAGTCCAAGGCTCCATCCTCGGAGATCACTGGTGATAGGAAGTTCTGATTTTGAAATCAGGGGCGCCCCATCAGTCCAAGGCTCCATCCTCGGAGTTCATTGGTGATAGGAAGTTCTGATTTAAAGATCACGGGCGCCCCATCAGTCCAAGGCTCCATCCTCGGAGTTCACTGGTAAAAGAAAGTTCTGATTTAAAGATCAGGGGCGCCCCATCAGTCCAAGGCTCCATCCTCGGAGTTCACGGGTGATAGGAAGTTCTGATTTAAAAATATCAGGGGCGCCCCATCAGTCCAAGGCTCCATCCTCGGAGTTCACGGGTGATAGGAAGTTCTGCTTTAAAAATCACGGGCGCCCCATCAGTCCAAGGCTCCATCCTCGGAGTTCACGGGTGATAGGAAGTTCTGATTTTGAAAATCAGGGCGCCCCATCAGTCCAAGGCTCCATCCTCGGAGTTCACTGGTGATAGGAAGTTCTGATTTTAAAATATCCGGGGCGCCCCATCAGTCCAAGGCTCCATCCTCGGAGTTCACTGGTGATAGGAAGTTCTGATTTTAAAAATCAGGGGCGCCCCATCAGTCCAAGGCTCCATCCTCGGAGTTCACTGGTGATAGGAAGTTCTGATTTTAAAATCAGGGGCGCCCCATCAGTCCAAGGCTCCATCCTCGGAGTTCACGGGTGATAGGAAGTTCTGATTTAAAAATCAGGGGCGCCCCATCAGTCCAAGGCTCCATCCTCGGAGTTCACTGGTGAGAGGAAGTTCTGATTTAAAAATCAGGGGCGCCCCATCAGTCCAAGGCTCCATCCTCGGAGTTCACTGATAGGAAGTTCTGCTATAAAAATCAGGGGCGCCCCATCAGTCCAAGGCTCCATCCTCGGAGTTCACGGGTGAGAGGAAGTTCTGATTTAAAAATCAGGGGCGCCCCATCAGTCCAAGGCTCCATCCTCGGAGTTCACGGGTGATAGGAAGTTCTGATTTAAAAATATCAGGGGCGCCCCATCAGTCCAAGGCTCCATCCTCGGAGTTCACTGGTGAGAGGAAGTTCTGATTTAAAACCAGGGGCGCCCCATCAGTCCAAGGCTCCATCCTCGGAGTTCACGGGTGATAGGAAGTTCTGATTTAAAAATATCAGGGGCGCCCCATCAGTCCACGGCTCCATCCTCGGAGTTCACTGGTGATAGGAAGTTCTGATTTAAAAATCAGGGGCGCCCCATCAGTCCAAGGCTCCATCCTCGGAGTTCCCGGGTGATAGGAAGTTCTGATGTAAAAATCACGGGCGCCCCATCAGTCCAAGGCTCCATCCTCGGAGTTCACTGGTGATGGGAAGTTCTGATTTTAAAAATCAGGGGCGCCCCATCAGTCCAAGGCTCCATCCTCGGAGTTCACTGGTGATAGGAAGTTCTGATTTTAAAAGTCAGGGGCGCCCCATCAGTCCAAGGCTCCATCCTCGGAGTTCACTGGTGGTAGGAAGTTCTGATTTAAAAGACAGGGGCGCCCCATCAGTCCAAGGCTCCATCCTCGGAGTTCACGGGTGATAGGAAGTTCTGATGTAAAAATCACGGGCGCCCCATCAGTCCAAGGCTCCATCCTCGGAGTTCACTGGTGATAGGAAGTTCTGATTTTGAAATCAGGGGCGCCCCATCAGTCCAAGGCTCCATCCTCGGAGTTCATTGGTGATAGGAAGTTCTGATTTAAAAATCACGGGCGCCCCATCAGTCCAAGGCTCCATCCTCGGAGTTCACTGGTAAAAGAAAGTTCTGATTTAAAGATCAGGGGCGCCCCATCAGTCCAAGGCTCCATCCTCGGAGTTCACGGGTGATAGGAAGTTCTGCTTTTCAAATCAGGGACGCCCCATCAGTCCAAGGCTCCATCCTCGGAGTTCACGGGTGATAGGAAGTTCTGCTTTAAAAATCAGGGGCGCCCCATCAGTCCAAGGCTCCATCCTCGGAGTTCACGGGTGATAGGAAGTTCTGATTTTAAAATCACGGGCGCCCCATCAGTCCAAGGCTCCATCCTCGGAGTTCACTGGTGAGAGGAAGTTCTGATTTAAAAATCAGGGGCGCCCCATCAGTCCAAGGCTCCATCCTCGGAGTTCACGGGTGATAGGAAGTTCTGATTTTAAAATATCAGGGGCGCCCCATCAGTCCAAGGCTCCATCCTCGGAGTTCACTGGTGATAGGAAGTTCTGATTTTAAAATATCAGGGGCGCCCCATCAGTCCAAGGCTCCATCCTCATGGAGTTCACGGGTGATAGGAAGTTCTGATTTTAAAATCACGGGCGCCCCATCAGTCCAAGGCTCCATCCTCGGAGTTCACGGGTGAGAGGAAGTTCTGCTTAATCAGGGGCGCCCCATCAGTCCAAGGCTCCATCCTCGGAGTTCACTGCATAGGAAGTTCTGATTTAAAAATTAGCGGCGCCCCATCAGTCCAAGGCTCCATCCTCGGAGTTCACTGGTGATAGGAAGTTCTGATTTAAAGATCAGGGGCGCCCCATCAGTCCAAGGCTCCATCCTCGGAGTTCACTGGTGATAGGAAGTTCTGATTTTAAAATCAGGGGCGCCCCATCAGTCCAAGGCTCCATCCCCGGAGTTCAGGGGTGATAGGAAGTTCTGATTTTAAAATATCACGGGCGCCCCATCAGTCCAAGGCTCCATCCTCGGAGTTCACTGGTGATAGGAAGTTCTGATTTTAAAATCAGGGGCGCCCCATCAGT